AGTCCCATCTATTTATCTTTGCCTTCACTATTGTGGCATTGGGTGCTCTGTCTTTAAAGATGTCGCTGAAGTGTATGTTGTGTAGTGTTTGGCCTATCTTTGCCAGAGCAAGTTTTTTTAAAAGGTGAAACCCACTGGAACACATAGCTCCTTGGTATTATTACCAAACTATATTACCAAACATTACATTATATGTAATTTTATATATGAACACTTTAGTGAGTGCAAAAAGACCTTTTAGGCTCTAAATTGAAATAGGATTTTTGAATATTTTCCTCAACTTCGTCATCCTTTTTGTATTTCTATTATGTGTTCATGTAATCGCATCCTTTTAATGTCTACACGCACCTACAAAGACTTTAAATTTGAGCATAGAATCTATGAACATCATTTATGAAATATATTGTGTATACTTGAAGATAGGTGCTCAAAATCATTTTATGGACGAAGGACAGGATCAAAAACTTTGGAGACCACTGAATTTGAAACATACACTTTTTTTTCCAAACAAATATGGAACATAGAGCTACACACTAGGCTTCATAGTGATTCTCTGATAAATAACAGAGAATTTGTATTTACTTGTAATTTTCTATGACTATAAATGAACCACAAAATTAGTAGCTGAAGAATAAATAGGTTTGCCATCCAACTCTGAAATAGGTCTCGCTGGGATGTATCAAAGTGTGGACTCATGTCCCCTTCATTAAGCTGAAGCCTCCACGTGCCCCTTCTGTTTCTCCGTCCTTCTTTCTCTCCCACTTACGCGGGTGTTTGCTTTACACTGGGCCGCCTGGATAGTGCGCAATGCTCTCCTCATCTCAAGGTCAGCCTGATCCGCACCCTAGATTCAACAGCAACTTGCCTGGTTTTGCACCTGCAACTCTGCACATCACACCCCTGCATGGCCCCCCACTAGAGAGGACCCCTCTAGAGCTGTAGAAGGGGGTGGGGAAAGGCAGGACGGAAAAAATGAAGAGAAAGGAAACCAAAGAGTGAGACAGAGAACGGCCCTAACAAGTGAGATCACAAGGGGTGTGACATTTTATGAGCAGCATGGAAACTACAGTGAAGCCCCTGAATGAAAACAGCCCTGGGGAAGATGTTACCCCAAACCTCAGTCCTTAGGGCGGCGGGGGGGATGCCTCATTATTGTGTTCTCACGACGCAAAGAGAAAAGTCCATCTAGTTCCATTCTGAACCAGTTTGGAAATGGGAAAGGGGATGACCCTCCATCATGGGCCTTTAATCCCGAGAGAGATGTCCCACCCACGCGCTGCAGGATGGGTGGTGGCCACAGCCACAGGCAGAGATGGTAGGGGTGGGGGCCGATGGCTGTGGGTGTTACTCTATCACAAAATGGCACAAAGATTAAATGGGGTCACAGAGCACAGAGAAGAGCCCCCCAGCTCCCTCACTGTCACTGCAAACAGGCCTCAGTTGATGCCAGGCCAGCTCTAGTCCTTTAAGCAGTCCATCATCTTGCTGCAGAAAGGGGGTGCTTGCTTGGGAGGGCTACTCCAGCCCCCTGAGGGTACCCCACAGCTGAGCTGACCCCAAAGGATTCAGATGAGTTTGTGGACCCAGACTCGGTGCTGGTTCACCTTCCTTGTCTCCTCTTCCCTGTTTCCTTCTCCTGCTTTGTGGAAGAAGGGATGAGGGGAGAGAGACTAGGGGGTAATGTGGCATCTTCGTGGAAAGCCTAACAAGAGGCAAGATGGGTGACTTTCTGTAAAAGAGGCAGGCACAGAGGGGTTGGGTGGCCCGTGAGTGTGGTGACATGGGGCTCCGAGGCAGGCTGGGCTGGGCTGGAGAGACACCTCTGAAGAGCTTGCCCTTTAGCTCACCCTGCACCCAGCACACGGAAAAGGGGTGGGGTGGCAGGGTGGAGAGTACAGCGAAGAAAAAAAATAGCCACCACAGAGCTTCCACTGCATCTGTGATCAGCTCACTGCCTGACGCAGAAGGGCACAGAAGTGGCACCCAGCCAGCAGGGGGTCCAGCTCCAGAGGTGCCAGCAACCAGAGCCCAGAAAACACTCCCTGGGCAGCAGCCATGGCCCAGCCCCCTCCCTGCTGGCTGTGGGTTCTGGGGACCCTGGCAGGCCTCTCAGCTACCCCAGCTCCCAAGAGCTGTCCTCAGAAGCACTACCGGGCTGAGGGAGAGCTGTGCTGCCGGATGTGTGAGCCAGGTAAGAGGCTGTGTGAGGGAGAGAGGACAGGGCCGAGGGCTGGACAAGGGAAGGAGAGTGGGCGCCGCACCAGGTCTGGAGACCAGTACCCCCTCCCTCTCCTGGCACTGGGGCAGAGCAGCCTGTCTGTCCAGGGCCTCCACCTTGCGCTCTGCTCACAGGGACATTCCTTGTGAAGGACTGCGACAGCCTGGGCACGGAGACCCGCTGTGAGCCCTGTATCCTGGGGGTCTCCTTCTCGCCAGACCACCACGCCAGGCGCCACTGTGAGAGCTGCCGCCACTGTAACTCAGGTGAGATGGGGCGCCCTTGGGGAACGAGGTTGGCAGAGCTGGGTGAGGGCAGTTGGAGGCCATTTCCAGGCGACAGCAAGTGGGAGATGGGGTGCCCTGTGTGGAGGCCCTACTGATGCAGGGAGAACCCCACTGTTTCAGAAAAGGGCTCAGCAAAATACGTGAGAATTCATGGTTTACCGAAGTTAAAATGATTGTTCGTGGCGCTTTCTTTTCTTGGCAGCAACCCCCCCAAGTCTTGGCCGTTTCTTGTCTAAGCCCCCCACTCACTCTGCAGGCCTCTTCCCAGGGCTGAGCTGCCTGCTTTCCCTGGGTTCCAGCCCAGTGCAACCCACAATCCCTCTCTAGAGGACTCTGGCAGAGACAGGCCCCACCCACACAGACACACACACCAGCACTCCGCAGCACATGGCTGCAGGACAGCAGGGGGTGGAGGGCAGGGGTGGGGTCCTCTCTGGACGTCAGTCTCCCCATGTGGAAGAAACAGAAGCGCCTGAAGTCAGCCTTGAGGCAGCAAAGGCAGTGGGTGACAGTGAGGTGGGGGGACAGGAGGTATAAGTGGAAAGGCCAGCCTGTCCCTGGAAGTGGGAGAGGGTCAAGTGAGTGGACTCTGAGGCCTGAACATCTCCTGTGCCTCAAACCTCCTCTGTCCCCAGGTCTTCTCATTCGAAACTGCACCCTCACTGCCAACGCAGCGTGCACCTGCCCCAAGGGCAGGCAGTGCCAGGACAAGGAGTGCACCGACTGTGGGCCGCCTCCAAACCCCTCGCTCACAGCCGGTCCATCTCAGGCCTCAGGCCCACACCCACAACCCACTCACCTACCTTATGTCAACAGTAAGTTCCAGGCCACCCTCTGTCCGGTCCCTGGGATAAGGCCATAGCCCAATCAGCATCCGCCCCCACAGAACTTTTGGGGTCAGGATCAGCCTGCTCTGCCTCCCCATCCAGCCTCAAGGCCTTGAACCTAGCCTCACACCCTGTGGGGGTCCTGGGCTGCTCTCCACACTATCTGTGTCTTTCCAGAAATGCTGGAAGCCAGGACAATCCAACATGTGCAGCCTCTGCCTGACAGCAAGTCAAGCCCAGCCCTCCCCACCCACTGGCCATGTGAGTCCCCCCACCCCCACCCCAGAACACATGCAGGAGCACCCAGGAGCCAGCCTGACAGCTCTTGGGAGCAGGGGTAGGACGAGTCAGGCAAGCAGAGTCCAGGGTTCTCCCAAAGAAGGAGCGAGGGAGGACGGCTCTGGGTGGAAGGAGGCCTGGGGTGAGGGGAGCCAGGGCTGGGCCTCCCCCAAATGCTCTGTGTGTCCCCTGCCTGACAGCCCAAAGGCCTCTGTGCAACTCCAACTGCATCCGCATCTTTATGATCTTCTCTGGAATATTTCTTGCTTCCACCATGGTCGGAGCCCTGTTCCTCCATCAAAGCAGAAGGCATGGACTAAGTAAGAGACTAAGCTCACGTCTCAGGGCTCTCACCCACCATCTCTGCCCCCACCCCAAGCCGAGGAAGCTTCCCCAGTTCATCTTCACCAACCCTTCCCACAGCTCTCCTTATCCTCTTACCTGGCCACTCCCGACCGCCCCCCCCTCCTCTCAACCCCCCCACTCCCCGCCCAAGGCAACCCCCCAGTTCAGATCTTCTCCCTTCATCCCCTCCCGAACCGCAAACCGCAACTCATCAGGTTCTCCTTGGGCAGACAAAGGAGCCGGAGCAGCCGCTGAGCCGGGTCCCTACCGACTACCCAGGGAGGAGGAGGGCAGCGCCATCCCCATCCAGGAGGACTACCGAAAGCCAGAGTCCGCTTCCTACCCCTAAGCCACCCTCTGCCGGGTCGTCACTGCCATGCCGTCCCTGTCTCACTTCACCGGCTGCCCGCACGGAACAAGACGCAGCATCCCCACTTTCAGCCCCGCCACCCATCGGGACCCTTTCCTGGGTGCAGACTGAAAAGTGCCGCTCGGACCTGGTTGGTGACAGGACAAAGCGGCAGGAGGTGGTGGAGGGGAAGCCCGGGCTGCGTCGGGCTTCCGGGTGGTACAGGAGCGCCGGGGTCCCCCAGGGGGCCCCCTTCCGCTTGGACGCCCCGCGTGCGAGGGATCCTGACCTAGAAGCTCGCGAAATAAAGTGACAGACTGCCACGCACTGCAGCTCTCCCGCTGTCTGCCTAAAACGCCGGGTCCTCGCACTTCCCGCACCCCACCGGCTCAGACCCAGGCAGGACAGACGGGGCGCGTTCCGCGGGCAGACCGGCCCGCCGGGAGGGGCGGGGCCTGCGAGTGGGTGTGGCATCAGCCTGCTCCCTCCCCTTCCTCGGGGAGGGGAGGGGCGGGGCCTGCGGGTGGGTGTGGCATCAGCCTGCTCCCTCCGCTTCCTAGGGGCTACCGGTTGCGCTGGGCTGTGTCCTGAGGTCTTGATCGCCCCGGGACTCTGAGGCCCGGAGAAGAGGAGGGGGTCGGGGGTGGGGGTGGTGGTGGTGGGGAGAAGGGCGGGCGGTGGACCGAGTCCGGCCCAGCAACAGAGCGGGGCGGGAGTGGTGGAAGAAGGGAGCGGTGCGTCTGACCCCGGCTACAGATGGCTTCACCTAGAAGCAAAGGCAGCCCTGTCGCCTCTTCCTCAAAGTGAAAGTGAAAGACGACAGAAAAGCGGGTCGTAGGCGGCAGTCCAGCAGAGGGCTTGCGTTTGGGGAGCCCCCTAGCCCGGCGGGACTGGAAGCCGAGGGGGAAGGGCAGAGTGGAGGGGCCGCTGAGCAGCCCCCATGGGCACGGCGGCCAGGTGGTGCCTGCTACTCTGCCTGGTTCTGCTGGGGGCAGCTGACCTTGGTGAGTAGGTGGGGTCCCTGAAGGGGAAGTGTGGGGTAAGGAAGGCCAGAGAGCTGCTGTCCCCCAAACTCCACAAGGGTGGCTTCCACCCTTCTAAGCCTAACAGGTGAAATGCTCGGTGACCCCCAAAGTGAGGAACCGGGTGTCAGTATGGGGATAAGGCTGAGAACTCTGGGGAGAAAGGCTACATGAAGAAGAGAGGAGCCCCTTCCGGGGAGCGAGGAGCCCCTTCCGGGCTGTGATGGGGGCTGCTGAACCCTTGGGAAGGGGTTCCCTGCCTCAGAAATCACTGGGGAAGGGATCCTGGAGTGTAGGGGCAGGCTCCCTGCTATTACATAAAGAGAGCTCATCCTGTGACTGGCCAGGCTGGAGAAACGGCTGCCAACCGTGTCCTCTCTCCGCCCCACGTGGCAGTTGTGTTCATTCATTTGCTGAGAATTTAGCTAAGGAGTTGTTTCAGAAATAGTTTCACAATGGGCCCTCCCTGGTGGCGCAACGGGTTAAAGCGCAGCACTATGAAGCGAGCCACACTGCTTCAGCACAAGTTCAATCGCCTGCCAGGGAGCTGGCCCACAGGGCACTGCCAGGGAGCTGGCCCACAGGGCACGACAGACCTCTCCTGTCCCACCTGCTGCTCCCCTCAGCAGTGTATTTCAGTCAGTCTGCCTGTTCTGCTCCTCACTCCGTCTCTGGTGAATCCTCTCACCACCACCCGTCCACTGGCCTGTACTGGCCTGTACCCCAGTTCTTGTATACACAAATAAATAAATCTTTAAAAACCAGTTTCACAAACCTCTGTGAGCAAGGTAAATTCAGGCTTTGAAGAATGCACACCAAGACATATTTATCTGGAGTGGCAGGTGCCCCGGAAAGCTGGTTTGGGAATGACAGAGGAGAGGGCCACAGAGACAGTGGGACCCCGGAAGACAACTTTCACCTCCCCCCATGATGCCACAGTCTGTAGGAAGTGAGTACAGAAGTAATTTCTGTGCAGGAAGTGCTAACCTGTCTCTCCCCTGCAGCAGAGAGGCAGTGGCGAACAGTGGATGTGGTCTTAGACTGCTTCTTGGTGAAGGAAGATGGGCAACGTGGTACTTTTGCCAGCAAGGAGAACATGGTGAAGGCCTTGCTTGTGCTGAGGCAAGTGCCAGTGCTGGATGATGGCTCCCTAGAAGGCTTGACCGAGTTTCAAGAAGACACACTGGCCAAGGATGACCTGCCTGTTACTTTTGAGGCCTCAGGTAAGAACCCTCCATCCTGCATCCCTCCTCAGGGCAGTCCAGTTCCCAAGCACCCACGCTCAGCCCAACTCAACTCTGGCACCTTCTCTCCCAGTGAAGCTGATACAGATTCCGCAGGCCGAGGCCTTACTCCACGCTGACTGCAATGGGGAGAAGGTGACCTGTGAGTTATCCCACTATCTCCAGACCAAACCAAAGGCCACTGCTGAGACAGCAACCTGGTTCATCACCAACGTGCAGGTGTCTAAAAGGGGACCTGGTATCTCCATGGTGCTGAAGATGCTCCAGGGTGCTGAGAATGAGGCTGTCTTGCACCCCACCCTAAACCTGCCCCTGAGTCCCCAAGGGACTGTGCAGACTTCAGGTGAGAACATGAAAAGTGGTAGAAAGTTTTGTTTTTTCAAAGTAGCCAGAGATGGGGAGCCAGAAGGAGAAAGGAACAACTCCACCGTCAACATTTGTCACCTTAGAGTAACCCTAGGCCTCAGTCCTTCCTTCCTCAAGACCCCAAATCATGGTCGTTTCTACCTCACTGGTTGCCTCGCTGGTATATACACTTTATGTTCCCCACATGCCAAAGGGGTCTTGAGAAAAGCTAGTCTTGTCCAGTGAAAAGCTAGTCAGGTCTTGTGCTTCAGGATAATTACAGCAAAACACAGCATTTGTTCACTCATCTCCTGTGAGTAAAACCCAGTCCCTGTGCAAGGACTGGAGAACACCAGGCCAGGCTTCTCCTGTGTTCATCAAATCCAACCAAGTCCAGAGATGAAGGGGCTACCCTCCGATCCTTAGAAAGTCCCAGAATGCCTGAACGCTCCCACTCTCTTCTGATCTTGGAAGCTAAGCAGGGTCAGGCCTGGTTAGTACTTGAATGGGACCAAGTTCCAGAATGCTCAGACCTCCCTGGGCCTACCTAGTTGTATCCTGGTCCAGATTTACCCCACCCCCACCCCCAGTATCCTACCCAATGTCAGCCACAGTCTTGGCACAGCTAGTATTTTCCCTTGTCATTCTTGAATACTTCACAGCTACCAGAAAGGTAAGAGAAGACACTAACAAACACCTGTTTACCACTCACCTGGGCTCACCAGTTACGAACATGGGGTTACATTCTCTGTTTTTTTGACCTGAACCAACTAAAAGTAGGTTGTATCCATACCCTCGCCTTCCCCCTTCTCTGGCAATTCTGGACAATGCCTGAGAAAATACTCCATGCTGGGAGGTGGCCCAGTCCTCCCCCAGGCCGCTCGTCCTCGCCGCCCATATTAAGACAATATCATCAAGTAGAAGGCCCACGTTCAGATTTCCCCAGTCATGTCCTCTATGGATTCCTGCAGTTCTGAAGTATAGGGTTCAGAGACTGTACACTCCCCCAGAGGTCCCGTCCCGCCAGCACCCCGGAACTGTTTCCCACAGCACTGACATTGTTGAGCACCTGCAGCACTCGTGACTTACCCAAGGTGACAGAGCTCGTAAGTGGAGAGCCAGGGTCCCGCCACTCTGCCCGACGGTCAATGGCCACCCCAAGTTCTGCACGTGCATTCTTCTGGCGAGAGGGCTGTAGCTTTCATCAGGTCACCCGGGTAGGTGACCCCAAAGTGGCCAAGACTGCCTGTGGGCCACGCTGCCTTCCCAGTGCCCCCTTTCTTTGTGGTTCCTTCTGATGGGGCATGGCGCAGTGACCGCACCCTCCGAGGGAGAAGGCAGGGGCAGGTGTGTGTGCAGCTCAGGGATCAGGTGACCTCGAGGAGGAAGCAGGCCACGATCACCTCTCTTTTCTCACCACAGTGGAGTTCCAGGTGACGACACAGACGCCGTCCCTGAAGGGCCTGCTGGGGTCCTCGGCCGCCCTGCATTGTAGCTTCTCCATGGCCCCCGGCTTGGACCTCCTCAGCGTGGAATGGCGGCGGCAGCACAAGGGCAGCGGCCAGCAGGTGTACAGCTGGGCCGAGGGGCAGGGGCAGGCCAGGCGGGAGGGCGCCACCCTGGATGCCGGGCAGCTGCTCGAGGCCGGGGATGCCTCCCTCACCCTCCGCAGCCTCACTGTGAACGACGAGGGCACCTACATTTGCCTGGTCACCACCTCTATGTACCAAGCTCAACAGATCATCCAGGTCCACGTCCAGGGTGAGGCCAGGCCCTGGGGTGAGGGGTGGAGACGCGAAGACTGGGGCGCTTTGTGGGGGGGATCCAGCAAGGGCAACTTCCTGAGGGGCAGGAGTGTCCCCACGCCCCCAGGCCATCCCCACCCGAGAAGCACAGATGGCAGCAGATTACATTTCCTGCCAGACCGTAGGATAATTCCATCGAGAAATTTCCCAGCCAGGACCCTGCTGCCCTGCCTGGCCGTCACAGCCAATCACCCCTGTCCTCCTGGACCACATTCTAGAAGGAGCAGCAGCGAACCAAGGAGGGGCTGCAGGAGCAGAACTGACCGAGCGGCGTCCTCTAGTCACTGGCCTGAGCACAGACAGCCAGCCAACCTTGAGCTGGTTCTCCTGCTCTTTTTCAGTTGCCCCTTAGTGCCTGCATCCAGGGGAGACCTGGCTCATCTTGACACACTGGTGCGGAGGAAGCTTCAGCCTCCACCATCTACTCAAAGCAGGAAGACCAGGCTTTGGCCCTGTGCTGTTTCTTGGACCCCTCTGGAATCTTAATGTTTTTTTTTTTTCTTCCAGCTTCTCCCAAAGTACGACTGAGCCAGGCGAGTCATGTTCTGCCACCCACCCTCATCTGCCAAGTCATTGGCTACTACCCCCTGGAGATGGATGTGATGTGGACCCGAGAGGAGCTGGGTGGAGCCCCGGTCCAGGTCTCCCAGGCCTCCTTCTCCAGCCTCCGGCAGAGCCCCGCAGGCACCTACAGCATCTCCTCCTCCCTGGCAGCAGAACCTGGCTCTTCGGGTGCCAGTTACACCTGCCAGGTCACCCACATCTCCCTGGAAGAGCCGCTTGAGGCCAGCACCTGGGTTGACCCACCAGGTAATGGAAAAGCTCTTTTCCCCACCTCCGCTCTTGGCTCGTGGCTCTCCTTCCCCCAGCTCGACCCCATTTTGCCTCCCACAGTCCCAGCTTCATCTTTCCCAGGGGGCCGCCTGGGAAAAGCCCCCCTACTCCCCATGCCGCCCCTGGTATGCTGAGAGTGGGTGATCAGGTTGAGTAGCTGCAGATCCTGCCCTCAAGGGGCTCAGTGCTTGGGAGAGACAGAAGAGGCCGTCAGGAAAGACAACCCAGGGAGCCGTGTCAGCTGAGTTATCCAGCGCAGGGGGAAGGGAACCCCAAAACAGAAAGAACAGCATGTACAGAGCCCTAATTATAAAACAGCCCAGAGATGTGGGGAACTGCACTGCTCAAGGCAAGGATTATGGCGGTGGGGAGCGCCGCAGCTTGGGAACTGTACTTGCTGAGCACTGACATGATGCAAGACAACACGGAGCACTTGAGAGTACTCGCCAGGAGCAGCATGCCTCCCTCACACCCAGCAGTAAACTGGCACTTCCTAAGCTAAGCAGGATGCACAGAACAGACAGCACAATCCACCTTCAACCTCTCACCCCCACTGCTATCATGGGCAGACTTGTGAGCCTTCAAGCTAGAGCTTCACCCTGGAGCACAGACTGTCGCTGAAAGAAAGGCTTTAGACAGGCAAGAACTAGCATCTAGACAGGGCCACGTCCAGGAGCAGTGGGCATTACTGGCTCACTAGACTGTACCCTTCCCCAAACTGGGACTTCATCTCTGCTTACATCCCTCCCCAGCTACTGACAGAATTCCAGTTTAACTACCAACAGCTACTCAAACCTAGACCTCTCTTCCAAAGCAGTACAAAAAAATCGGGTTCCATGGCAGGGAGAAAGAACTATGTGTGGAGCAACCCATGATCATGCAACACCCCTGAGCAAGTAGGAGCGCTGTGCCCTGGGTCCTGGGGGCGCAGAGAGAGGGGAGCACTTGATATGAGCTCCTGGACAGGGGTTTCTCTTGCACGCAAGCCCGCGCGGGCGCACACCCGCTCCCGTGAGGCACAGGCTCACCGACCCTCTGCCACTGTCTCCTGCCCACACTGCTCTCTCTCCCACAGAGCGGACAATGACTTTTGGTGCGTTTGGCGTCCTCATCGCCAGCAGTCTCTTCCTTCTTACACTGTGGTTCCTGGGGCCACAGAGACGATAAGGTAAGAGTCCTGCCCTCACCTGGGGCCCCGCCCTGTCCCACCTCCTGCTCTAACCAAGCAAGCCAGGGATGAAGCCCAGGCATCCCCAGTGCCGCCCGCCACACCCTCCCCCATCCCCAGCTTTTAGGGTTAACACAATTGAAACCAACCTCATTCCCTTTTATTTTCCCCTAGCTACCTCCCAGGGTCTGCCTAGACTCGAGACTTGTCAGGACTCTGGGAAGCTGCTCTCCTGCCTCAGAGTGAAGAGAACAAGTGATCAAGTTCTCCCAGAAGGACTCTGAACCAGGACTCAGAAAGGCCCCCAGAAAAGCAAGGAGCTTGGGCCCACCTTCCTGCTTTCCGTCACTGTGCATCCAGGCTGACCTGCCCAGGGAGTCGTGAGGCGGTGATAAGGCCGCAGGAGGGCAGCATGTTGGGGTGGGGGGGTCTTGGGGGGGCTCCAGGGGGGGCATTAAGACAGATCTGAGGGGCAGTGGCAGGAAAAGAAATTAGGGGCAACACGAGTGAGGCCGATGGGCAAGGGGCCAGGGGCCACCATGCACCGGCGTTGAGCTCCAGCCAAATAAAACCCCTGGTCCTCGAGGCAAAGCTGTTCTAGTTCCTGTCCCCACGCTGGTGCCAGCTGAGCCCTGTCCCCAGGCCCAGCTTCTCCACCCCAACCGTAACATGTTCAAGCTCTGAGACGGCCCCGTGCCTCCCAGCCCTCTGACGGCGAGCTGCCCCTGCGGGGCCCGGGTTTCCTTTCCTTCAGGTCTCAGATGTGCCCGGGCATCACAGCGGCACGCACCATAGGCAAAGCACGTGGGGATGAGGGGCGGCAGGGCGCGGCCTGAGTGTGGGCCCCGGGGCTGGCAGCCCACGCTGGCAGGTGCAGATGGAGCGGGCTGAGGGAACCTGCAGCTGTTTGTCGTGTGAGGGGCCCACTTGGCTTCCTGTCATCACTTCCTCTCATGGCACCTGAAAGGGCGCTGCCTCCCGTAGGGACGCTGAGAGCAGCGACCACTTCCTCTGCCAACTGAGCTCTTTCATCGCCACAGACCATGTAGCACACAAGCCAGTCCTTCCAGCCCGGGGCGCTGCCAGGCTGCCAGGCTGCGAGAGAGCAGCCCCCGCCCCCACCCAGACAACAGCAAGTCAGTTTAGTGGTAGGAATTTGTATTTTTTGCCTTTGTTGAGAATACATGAAATCAGTATATGCACATGCCTTTGGTGGAAGTACAACTGTTATCGCTCTATACAAGTATGAGGTTGGGGGTCGGAAAAAAGACAAAGAGGTGACGACAGACACACAGTGGAAACCCCACATCATCTCATGGCAAACTCAAGAAGGGGATGTGGGAAGCTCGGCCTCGCCGGGCTGCAGAGCCCAGGCTTCAGTTGCATATTTGCTCATGCACACGGGGCGGGGGGGGGGGGACACAGCCAGGACACAGAAGAGGATGCACGGTGGGGTGAGAAGGAAAATGGAAAGGCTAAATCCCCCCAAAGAACAAAGCCACTAGAACTGCTGAGCCTCAGAGGGAGGAAAACCCAGGGGCAAGTTCCCGAGACAGGACTGGGCGGGCCAAGGGTGGCTGTGCTCCTGCCTGGGCCATCGAGGACCGTGGTGGTTCTTCTCCAGCGGTGACCCCTGCACTAGGCCAGGAGGAGCCCAGGGGAGAGTGGAGACTTCGAGGGGGCGCTGGGAGGGTACACTGACTGCTTTCTTCCAGCTCTTCAGTCCTGCCCTGGGGCAGGACGAGGGAATGTGGGGAACGATAGGGGCTGAAGGGGGAGGGAGGATGGTTCTGCGCCATGAAATGCTGCTGCATGGAAAGGGAGCCCCCAGCCCCGCCCCGACCCGCCTGTCTCTTGCCACTGGTGGGCAGGCGGACAGACAGAATAAAGGGTCACGGGCATCCCCCTCCCACCCCAGCCTGCCCCCACCCGCCACTCAGGTCTGCCCGACTCAACGCCCTGGCCTGGAGCTCAGCAACGGCCCCCAGGCTGGCCCGCAGCTCCTGTTCTCAGCTTCCTCTGCACCCGTAGCCATGTGAAGAGGAGGAAAGAGGAGGCAAAGGGGGATTCAGATGGCGAGGGGCTTCAAAAGGGGAGCCAGCATAGGAAGAACAAAGCGGCGGCTCTGGACCAGAGGGCCCGCCCGCTGAACCCAAGCCGGTGCATCCCGGACTCTGTGAAGACTCAGGATCCACCAAGCCTCGGGCAGGGCCCCTGCCCTCACCGCTGTCCTTGCCAAGGACACAGGGGTATCCTCGGGTGGCATGAAGGACAGGGCCCCTGAGTCTGAGATCCTCATGTCCAGCGCCCTCACACTCCTCTAGCAGCGGCAAGAGAGGAGCAGGACCCTCCTGAATGAGAGGGCAAGGCGCGGCTTCCCGCAGCTCGCCGTCCCCCTGGCCTCTTGACTCACTGTCTCTCGGCCACGGACAGGCACCCTCACTTTATCTGTCTCCTGTTCTCTCCCTGCATCTGTTTAGTCTCTCTCTATGTGTCCGTTAAAACTAACCATGAGTTCCAAGCGTTGGCTATATGAAATGATTTGGTGCCCTCACGAGCGATACAGAATGCTGCTGAAAGTGTGGACCAGACCTACTGCCACTGAAAAAAAAAAAACGGTAGGGCCAAGAGACAGCCGCTTCCAGGTCTGATTATGGAGGGCGGGTGCCTCGGGCGGGCGTGGGAGCCCTGCATGCTGGCAACACCCGTTCTCCGGGTCTCGGGGGGCCCAGGAGGCTGTGCGATCCCTGACAACTGAGGAAATCTTGCACTACCAGGTTAGATATCACTACAACAAACAGGCTTGGCTTTCTGGAAGGTCCTGCACCAGGCCCACGCTGGACCACAGGCCCACACGGGACCCTACCAGCGAGCAGGTAGCCACGCGCTGCAGTTTTCCTGCTGTCCACCACTTCTTCCCACACAGCGCCCCGGCCTTTCTGGCAACACCACCCACCCACGCGGGTCCCCTTCTCCTCCCCTGGTCTCGGCACCTTCTTGGGCACAGCACCTCAGCTAAGCCCCCCAACCCTGTCCCTGGCTCTCAGTCATTGTTGGCCTCGGGGAAACTTAGGATATGTAAGGAAGGAGGCTGTGCCAGCTGTTGCTCTCCAGGTTGTCACTTCAAGACAGCACCACGAGCAGCATTTCTAGTGTAGAGGGGCAGAGCGCAAATGAAAGCAACAGAAAAGAAGGGATGGGCCATGGCGGAGCCTGGGCTGGGGTGGAGGAAGGTGGTGGGGAAGGTGGTGCAGAGAGCAAACAGAGGGAGAGGGACATGGGTTTGGATGGCAATGGAGGACAGGGGAGGGGTGGCACATTCTCAAGTAAAAAAGTAGACTGGACACAGGAGTCAGGAAGTCCCAGACGGAAAAGAGAAAGAGACAGGAGAAAACAAGAGGGCAAATTACATCAAGTTACTAGACATCCAGGACTTGCGCTCGTCAGCGGGCCCATCCCCACGGTCTCCCTCTGACCCAAGCCAGTGGCAAACAGCACAGCCCCACTCCTCAGAACCGTGGGGCCATCCTCCCACAGGACCTTGCAGAGGGAAGGCTTGTCCATCAAGGAAGTCCACTGTCTCCACCCCTCCTCCCTCCCACCAGGTGATGACCCCACAGCAGCGATCTCCATACCTCAGTCAGAGCAGCCCCACTCCCCAGGCAGCAGGCAGGCAGGCAGGGCTGGGAGATGAGTCCGGGACCTTCCCACCTCTTCACCCCACCAGCAACCTCAGCGATACTTACTTACAATAACTACCACGATGATGGCACAGATAGCTCCCAGCATGATCATCATCTGCGGAACAGCACAAAGTATGAGCCCGTAGGTGGGGTCAAGGAGGAAATGAGCCAGAGTTGGGGACATGGGAACAGAGTGCCCTCCATCCTTGGGGGGCACTGCACTTTCCCCAGGAGTCTGGAGGCCTCTAAGGGCGAGCCTGGCTCTCGAGCCCCCCATTCTACAGGGACCCTTGTACCACAGCTGAAGCGTCTCAGAACCATCGTGAGCTCTGAGGCTCATCCCTTTATCTTTGGTTCACTGCCTGAAGACCTTGAAAGGAACCCCAAAGAAGGCCAGGCTTTGGACAGTCAGGCAATCGGAGCACTTCAGCTCATTACGCAAAGTCGTAGGTATTTCAAAATATAGCTACCCAGTCATTGTATTGTTGTTGGGGTGTCTGAGAAAGGGCCAGCTGAGTTTTCACAGGGGATTCCGAGCACTCTGACTAACCATTTCCCAGCAGCTCCGGGTGTGAGGCTCCGCTCGCGGGTCCTAAGTGCTCTAGCCCACCCTAGTGGCCAATGTGGATAGTGCACTTCAACAAAGAGGAGAGGCAATTCCCTCCTTAGGGTACTGCACACAGAGCTCCTGAGGACGATTGTAGAATCTGAGGGTTTTCTTGCTTTCCATGAGTTGAGGCTCAAATAAATAAGGGGGAGAAGAAAGTAAAATTCACCTTGCAGTTTTTCCACCAGTACTTCCTCTTTAACTTGGCAGCACTGCTCTCAAATTGTGACGCTCCCGCCTGCAAGGCGTCAGCTCTGTCATCCAGCTCTGACAGCTTCTGGTCCCTCTCCAGGACCTTGTCCACATTCACACGCATGATGTCCACCACCTGAGGAGGGCGCAGAAACAAAGCTGCTAAGCGTCCTGCTGGAGACCCAGAGCACCACATATCTGGCTCTGGATAATTCGAAGGGACACCCTGCCTCCCACCCTGTAACAGCACCTCTATGATTTGGGAACTCTCAGAAGAAGTCATCCACCTACCTCCTCCACTTGTGCCTGGGTCTGCTGGAGTCGTCTGTTACTGGTCATATTAGGGGGAGGGCCAGGGGGGCCACCACCTGGGGCAGCCCCTTCTGCCCCTTCGGCAGGTGGTTGAGCTGGAGCAGACCTGTGGCGAGAAGTGGACAGAGGACAACGTAACAGTGACAAGACAGGATTCGCACGTACGCTCACCCCCGACCACCAAAGCAATGGTGACTCGGTGATTCACTAATAGAAAGGAGTTTGCCTCCTTAACAGCACCAAGTGGGCGATGCAGCAGAAAAGGAAGCAGCAGATGACGGAAGAGCCGATGGCAGCATTTAGACAGGAGTCAGGGGCATCTAGGGTGGCACCAAAAGGACTTGTTAGGGCTATTCTGTGACCCAACTCAAACATATCTCTGGCACAGTGGTGCACAGGGACACATGAAACACAGCCCTGGCCTAACTGGCTTCTCCATGAATGTCAGAAGCCTTTCACTGAAAACACCAAATTGGAAAACACCAATCCAGGTAAGAAGAAATTCATACAATAGACTAAAGCTCAGGACGAGTCAATGCACTGCACAGCTCTTCTGTGCAAAAGTCTGAAAATAAAAAGGCAAGCTGACAGACTTGGCTTAAGGGGATTCGGTTGTCAGCTAGTTTCACCAATGGTCAGAATATTGGGGCTGCTGTAAGGACAACTTGGAGCATCACCAAAGGCAAGGCCTCTGTAGGTGCGGTGAGTCAGGACTGTTTATTTGCTGGTTTGGCAGCAAAGACGGGGGTTTCGACTAAAAGAAATTGAGGCCCAAAGCAATGGTGTTAGCTATGAAAATGGTCCAAGAACATAGATGAGAAACAAATATACTGGAAAAGATCCTCAATGTATATGCATGGTGGACATTTTGTCCCTTTCTTTTTTAGATTTTTTAAAAAGATTTATTTACTTGTGCATAAAGCACTGGGTTACAGGCCAGAGGTGCAAGTGGTGAGAGGATTCACCAGAGACAGCGTGGGGAGCAGAACAGGCAGGTGTACTGAAACACATTGCTGAGGGGAGCAGTGGGTGGGTCAGGAGAGGTCTGCCACACCTTGTGGGTCACCTCCATGGACGGGGATTGAACTCATGTTGCAGTGGCTGCAATAGCTTCACAGTGCTGTGTTTTAGACTGTTGCACCACCAGGGAGGGACCTCTCTTTTTAGATTTAGCATCAAGTTTCAGGAGACCCTCTCTCCCCCCAGTCCTTTACATCCCAAAGAGAAATCTAGGTTTACACTATAATACAGTTCTCTCTTTCCTTTAGTCTTAGTGAGGTATCTCATGTAGGGTCTTCAAAATAAACTCTTCTCCACGTTCTAACACATGAAGGATAAAGTCTCTTCCTAAACAATTCCCAGGAGTATAACCTAAGGCGTGAGCTTTTTTCCCTACCAAGCAAGGACCCACATGTGGGTCTGTGGGCAACCTCTCCAATTTGATAAAGAATATAAATTACAAATTATAAATTTGCTCCTCAAACAGCAGTGAAATCTCACACAACCTACTTCAGAGAGTAGGCCAGGAGTAAATGCACTACAGATTAAGTCATCACTACTCACACTAGAATACCAGAAGTTCCTCCTCCCTAACTGAGTGAATTCTTAGTGGCTGAAAGACAGAAAATAAGCACTCACTGTGGCAGAGATCACATACACCCAACTCATCCCTATGTAAGGAATCACTTTCTCATTTCCCTCTAAGGCACAAAGGAGACAAACCAAAGAAAAATACCAAGCCCTGGATGCCACAGGACTCTTGTGCTACTACTGAGCTAAGCAATCTAGTTCTCCAGTGAAGGTGGAAAATTCAATGAGTAGGTAGCTGTGGTGTTTGGCCTTGGAAGTAGTCCAGGATATGGTGGCACCAATGACAAGATTAAGGTCAGAGACCTCGTGATGCCCTGCTGGTCACCATGCTTTCTCCCTCTTCTTCCGTTCATCCCACATGGGTGCTAATGGGACAGTCAGCTGAAAAGGATCCCCCTCCCCAAAATGAAAACAAATGGGTCCTAGGGCTTGACCAAAATGCCTAGAATATCACATATGGTTAAAAGCACAGAAATAAATCAGAGAAATGGGGAATTGGTTATACAGCACTTGAAGGGACCATTCTGACTGCTACTTGTTGGGAAAGGGGAACACTCAGGAGTAAAATGTCCAGGGATAGTTATAACCCTTATGTAACATAAGCAAACTCTTCCCCTTTTCGGCACTAAGAGAAACAATACGAAATACATCTAAAAGCAGACCAGGACTTTGGGCAGTAACAAGAAGGGAAAAATAATAAACATAGTTGGGTCCTGACAAGGCAGTACCCCATGAACCGCCTAACTCGAGTTCTCCCTCAGATGTTCAAGACGGTCAGAGAGTAAGCTAAACATGCTGGAGGAAGCCAGAGGGTCCTCGGCTCTACTGCTTATCCAAATCCTTGGTTTATACTCAAAGACAAGAAAAGCCCTCCTGCACGGTGGCCTCGGGATGAATGGCTGCTGGCAACCACATGTCACTCACTGCCTCTTGAGTCTTTCTCAGTTGCTCATCCGGCGCCACAGAACTGACAGACAAGTTTCTGGAGCTTTGCTCGTTGCCAGGGTTCAGGAGTAGGGGGAGTCCATGCCACATACACAAGACTAGGGATTGCGAAGCAACTCAAGTTACTAACTCCCCTAGGTGCACCAACAGAGCTCGTAGGTACTGATTCAGTCAGGCAAGAAAGAACGCAGAGCCCGCTGTCCATCCATGGTTTCTACACCCTACCTTCACCCTCTCCCTACTCGAGACCCGAATGAGGAGTCCCGCAGGCGAGAGGAGGTGGTGCAATGAATGTGGGACCCCCGCGCCCCCGCCCCGCCCGTGGGGTGCTGGCTGTGGCTAGTGCAATAATGGGGTGCTGTCTCCCCTCGCCGGGGGTGGCCAGGTCTGGGGGCGGCGGGCGGCGGTGGATCCCCGCATCGCCGCAGCTGCTGCAATGCGCCATTTTCCGTCCCGCAGAGTCCCGCGCGGGGGGTGAGAGTTGGCAAGAAGGTGTGCAGTCCCCACACCACCGTCAACTCACATTTCTCTGACAGGGAGTAGGGGTCCGTCTCCTCTCCGGAGGCTCAGCGGCGAGACACCCAGCAAAGGGAATGCTGCGGCTAAACTGCACGGAACCGCCGAGCTCCTCTTCCTGCTGACCACCCGGAGCTCTAGCTGCGGTGGAACTTACCGCAGCTGCCCCGCCGCTCCAGTCTTTATTAGTGCTGGCCACGCCTCCCGGCTAAAGCGGCCCAATCCACGCCCGGGACAGGCGTCCATCCAGAAGCCACGCCCCACCGATCCCAGGCCCGCCCCACTCTTGAAAATGGCCAATCACAGTATTCCCCTCATCCTGACTCCAAAAAGCAGCGGAGGCTGCAAGAGTCAATCACTGGCCAATACAACTATAAAGCTTGCTCACCTGTCTAAGCGACAGGGTGGGGTGGAAATAAGCGCCATCCTTCTGGAACGGAGGCTCCTGCAGTTAGGGTTTTTTGGTGTTTCCCAGCCAATGGCTTGACAGTTCCTGAAGCTCGGTCCTCCCCTAGCCCCAGCGCCCGCGGCTCCAGCCAATCGCGCGGCCGCTTCCGACCGCTGTGGGGGGGACACTGCTGCCTGTCGCCGGACTGTGGCGTCCTAGATCTCCTAGCGGTTCCGCTGTATTTGCCGACCCCAGGCGCGCAGAACCGACCGGTAATCTCAGCCTCTGAGAAACAATACTGAAGAGGTTGCCTCCATCAAGGCAGAGCCGAACGGGTCCTGGTGCCAAGTACCGGGCGCGGGGTCCCGTCCCACAACATCAGATGCGAAGGCTGGGTTCGTTCCCTTCGCCCCAAATTGGCTCCTCCTATGCATCCCAGGTAGGCTACCACTTTGACTCAGTTGCTCAAACCAGAAACCTGAAAACCATCGTTTCCTCTCTATTCATTTTCATCCTTCCAATAGTTGATCAGTTGAGTCGATGTTTTTTAGTATTTCAAGGATTTTCTCCCCTCATCTTGCTGTTCTACTTCAGACTGCAGTTCCTTGCCTGCACCTATCACTAGCAAAATTATAATTTGTGTTCCGCTAAGAAAAAAGACAGCAAATAAACTGACATAATGCTTTCTTCTTAGAATTTTTACATTTCTTCAAGATTTAGGCTTATAATGGATACAAATTGTTAAGTCATATTTCACTCTCTGCATACACAAAAAGGAAGACGGGGGAAACATCTAACGGTATTCCTAAAACTTTACGTTTAGAGGCTGATTTATGATTTTTTTTTATTCAGTCTTCAATATCCAAGATTTTCCACAAAATGTAGTCCTCCATTCATGCCACCAAGGGCTTTGGTGATGCAGCATTTCTTAAAATAGTGTTCTTCTCTGGAGTTTTCTCCCAAGCTTCAGATACTTAGCAAGTTCAGATTTTTATAAGCTGGTATGACAAATGCAGTATATCATTTGTCTGGCTAATAGTGAAACATCGCAATTTAGATATTAAAATGAAAAAAAAAAAAACCTCTTATAATTAATGCAATATTATTTCTTTTACATCTAGCCTTGCCCTTCCTTATAATCATCCTCTAAGAAACTCCCTCTGGTGATATATCCAAATGCCATAACACTGCTTAAAACCCTAAGAAATTGTTGCTAGAAACAGAATGTATTTGTCATCTTATGTGTTTATCCCTTTCCTTTCCTGAAACCACATCAAACTGGCAATTTGTAAAAATTGAAAACAAATTATAAGCCTTCAAAAACAAAAAGAACTTGTTTCTGACAATATGATTGCCAAAGTATCACCACTGGTTCTCCCCAGACAAAAACTTAAGATCACTGATTTTTGTTTTAACCAAGGTATTTTTAAACTTAAAAAACTAATTATAGATTCACATGAGAAATAGGTATACAGGGCGATTTCCCTACACTCCAAATGGTAACATTTTTAGTAACTATAATACAATATTAAAACCAAGAAATTGAAATTGGTACAATCCACAAAGCTATTCAGATTTCACAGGTTTTAGATGCTTGTGTGTATATGTGTATAGTTTAATGCAATGTGTGTGTAGATTCCTGTCACTACCACTACAATCAGGACACAGAATTGTTACATGACAAGGCACCCTCCTGCTACCCCTTTATAGCCACACCAATCCTGTTCCTTACCTTTGGCAACTATTAATTTGTTCTCCATCTCTATGACCTATTTCAATAATGTTATATAAATGGAATCGTAACAGTATGTAACCTTTTAAGACCGACTTTTTCCACTCAGCATAATGGCCTTGAGAGCCAGCCAAGTTGTATCAGTGCTTGTCATTGCTTTCATTCTATGGTATAGATATACCATAATTTCTTTAGCCATATTTACCTGCCTGCTTGGACTGATTTCAGTCTGGGGCTCTTACAAGTAGCAGCACTGTAAACATTCATGTTCAGGTTTGCGTGAATGAAATTTTCATTTCATTGGCCAAGAGTGCAACTGCTGGTAGTTAGTTACATGTTTAGTGTTACAAGAAACTGCCAAACTGTTTCCCAAAGGGCTGTACCATTCCAGATTCCTACCTGTACTGTATGAGAAATCCTGTTTCTCTACATCTTCCCCAGCACTTAGTGTTGTCACTATTGTTATATTTTAGCCATTCTGATAGGAATTAAATAATTATGGATTTAATTTTCATTTTTCTGATGATGTTGAGTATATTTTAATGTGTTATTTGCCATCACTATGTCCTCAATGGTGAAAGCTCTGTTCATGTCTTTTGTCCATTTTCTAATTTTTTACTATCAAATTTTGGAATTTTAATTTCTCTTTGTGTCACTTTCTTTTCTTATAAGGTTCCAGGTAATGGTAAAGACAGAAATAAGCAGATGGTCCGCAGTCAGAATGAGAACTCTTTATATATTCTAAGTATTTTGTCAGATAAGCAGTTTCTCCTGGTCTCTTGTTTTTTATCTCAACAGGATCTTTCTAAGTTTTTTTTTTTTAAAAGATTGATCTATTTATGCACACAAGAACTGTATTACAGGCCAGAGGTGCAGGGGCCGTGAGAGGATTCACCAGAGACAGAGTGGGGAGCAGAACAGGCAGACTGACAAAGTACACTGCTGAGGGGAGCAGCAGACAGGTCTAAACATTACTTTCATTTTACATCTAAGTCAGTGATCACTTTGGGTGAGTGTTGTATGAGGAGCGAAGTACTCCTCATACCTATGAATGAGGTGCCTATGGATTCCAGGTGTCCGTCCCAGGAACATTTGTTGAGATAACAATCCTTCCTTCACTGAATTGCTTTTTTACCTCTTCCTAAATCAGGTGAGCAATTTGTGTGGGCCAGTATCTGGGTTCTCTATGGAGTTCCAGTAAACTTGTGTTTGTCCTTCTACCAACATGCTGTGTTAATTTGGCATTGTGGAGTGAACTTTAACATTGGGTAGTATTCTCTCATTTTTTCTTTTCCAAAACTGTTTAACTATTTGCACTCCTTTGCCTAGAGGTTCTTTTTATTTTTTAAAAAAGATGTATTTATTCATTCATACAAGAGGTAGTGTGTAGGCCAGGGGTGCGAGGGGGTGAAAGGATTCACCAGAGATGGAGTGGGGAGCAAAACTTAAATACACTGCTGAGGGGAATAGCAGGTGGCACAGGTTTGCTCTACCATGTGGGTCACCTCCCTGGCCGGGGATCAAACTAGTGCTACAGTAGATATGGATAGCTTCACAGTGCTGAGATTTAACTCCTTCTGCCACCAGGAGGTCCAGGGTTATTTTTTAAATGTATTTGAGCTAGCAAGAAAATAATGCCAGGTGATAATGTCAATAAGCCAGGCAACTAAAAGTAGCCAACAAACCCCCCCAGAGCTTGGAGAGAGAATCTCCTCCACAGTACTCAGAAGCCAACCCCCATAGGGCCTTGTTCTCAGACTTGCAGGACTGAGACAGTACATTTATGTTGTTTAGGCCCCCTAATCTGTGGTACTTGATTATGGCAGCCTCAGGCAACGAATACAGCTGTCTTGAACTTGCTTATGTGTTTTGCTCCAAAAACCAAGAGCAGACAGACATATTACATATACATTATTACCTGTGTGATAGTAGGAATATCAAAAGGGACTTGATGGTGTGCTGAAGCGTTTGACTTGGAATAAATATTGGTAAGTGTAAGAAACCAATAGGAATAAATAAACATCAGTGATTCTTAGAACAGGAATCCTCAGCACAAAACCAGAACTTTGACTTTCCATGTACAGAATATGAATAATCATATTACTCAGTTTATGACATGCTATCTTCATTTATGCACAGAAGGGACTGCCTTGTTTCATTTTTATATTCTTTGTAATGTTTTCCCTCTCCAGCCACCGACGATATTAAGATTTGTTTGATATCTATAATTTTTCTTTTGCAAAATGTGTACTTTTTGGTGCATGTATTTTTAATTTCTGTGTTTTAGATCTTGAGTCTTTTTCCCACTTAGCATTGTTTTAAAGATTTCTGGGGGGTGCAGGGGTTAGCATCAGTGCCATCAAGCTATCACCAGTCACTGTGGCATGAGTTCAGTCCCCTGCCTGGTGCAGACCTCTCCCGTCTCACCCACTGCTCCCCTCAGTAGTGTATTTCCATCAGTCCACCTGTTCTGCTCCCACTGTCTCTGGTAAAACCTTCACTCCCCTCCTCTTTGGCCTATACCTAAGTTCTTATATGTGTAGATAAGAATAAATCTTAAAACCCAGCATGTTTGATTTTTACCCTTTCAATCCTCATAGCCTTTCTCCCTCTTCCTTCCTTTCTTTTCACAGCTTTGAAGGGGACCTTCAGTTCTAAATTAAAGTGCAGCAGTAATAGAGGGCATCCTTGTCTTGTTGCTGAACATTTAGCAGTATTTGTCCACTTAGTATTTGTTGTTGATCTTTAATGTATCCTTGCCAAGTTCAGGAAATTTCCTTTTGTTCGTATATGGCCAGTTTTCACATTTTAACCATAAGTAGCTGTTGAGACTTTTAAAATTTCCTTTCCTGTATTAATTAAGATAATCATGGAGAGCTAAACTCTCAGCTTTTATAACTGGATGCTAAAGGTCAAAACATTATAAACAACAACAAATTTGAATGTATTTCAAATTGATGATTATATCAGATTATTTAAAAAAAGTTAATCTAAAAATAAATCATTGCACACCCATTTTTAAAAACTGCAATATAACACATGTATTGTTCAATCCACTCAGTATGAAATTAGATGGGTTTTGGTACATTTATTATGTTGTACAACCAACATTGCTATTTCCAGAACATTCTATCGCCCCAAAAAGAAACCCCATACCTGCTAGCAGTCACTCTGAATCCCTGAGCCCTTACCCCACTCCCCAGCAACAACTAATTTGTTTTCTAGGCACATCCATGTTGTAGTATGTCTCAGTACCTCATTCTTTTTTAAGATTTATTTCTTCATGCATACAGAACTGGGGTGCAGGCCAGGGTGCAGGGGCAATGAGAGGATTCACCGGAGACAAATTGTGGAGCAGAACAGGCAGATCAACAAAGTGCACTGCTGAGGGGAGCAGGGGGCAGGTCAGGAGAAGTGTGCTGAGCCATGTGGGTCACATCCTGGGCTGTGACTCACTTGCAGTGCTGGGCTTTAAACTGTTGTGCCACCAGGGAGGGCCAGCACCTCGTTTTTTATGGCTGAATAATAGTGTAATGTATGGACATAGCACATTTGTTTATCCATTCATCAGTTGACGGATTTTGGTTTCTTCTTTGAGGCTATTCTGAATAATCTGCTAACAATTATATACAGGTTTGTGTAAACATGTTCTCATTTCTTTTACCTACAAGTAAAATTGCTGGGTCATATGGTAACTACTTAATTTTTTGTGGAACTGCCAAAAATTTCAGAAATGGCTATGCCATTTTACTATAGGCTAAGCTCTAACGTTTCTTTACATCTCACTCTTGCATCCCACCTTCTGCTCCTATCTTTTGCCAGCTACATTAGCTCTACCAATAAATGCCATTTGTAGTTTTCCCATATACACTATGCAGTTTATTGCCTCAGGACCCTTGTTTCTTTCATCTCTCTGAAAAGCACATTAGCCTCCATTTCTTTAACAACTCAATAATGTCATCCTCCAGAAAGCATTCCTTGTCCCTACTCCTGCTTTTAAAATTAGAATTACTGGGCACTCCCTGGTGGTGCAGAGGATTAAAGCACAGCACTGTGAAACTAACCACAGCCGCTTCAGTACAAGTTTGATCCCCAGCCAGGAAGGTGACCGACATGGTGCAGTGGACCTCTCCTGTCTCGCCCACTGGTCTCCTCGACAGTGTACTTCATCCATCTGCCTGTCCTGCTCCCCACTCTGTCTCTGGTGTATCCTCTCATGGCCCCTGCACCTCTGGCCTGTACCCCAGTTCTGTATGCATAAATAAGTCTTTAAAAATAAATAAGTAAAATAAAATTAGAATTACTGGGCTTCCCTGTAATTCAAGGGTGGTACAAGGGGTCAAGACCCAGTACTATGAAGCTATCCACAGCCACTACAGTACAAGTTCAACCCCCAGCCAAGGAGGTGACCCACATGGCACAGCAGCTGTCTCCGCACTGCTCCCCTCAGCAGTGTATTTCAGTAGATCTGTCTGTTGTGCTTCTCACCCTGTTTCTGGTGAATCCTCTCACCACCCTACCCCCACATCTCTGGCCTATACCCCAGCTTTTATGTGCATAAATAAATAAATTTTTAGAAAGAAAATAAAATTAGAACTACCTCAATCTAGATGACTCATACTTTAAAAAAGTAAAAGTCTAGAAACAAGCTAAAAACAGATCTGGTTACATTATGACACATAACTCAATTTACATTATGGGGAGGATAAGGTACAGAACAATGTAGTCCTTCTTTCTTTTTAAGATAGTTAAGATAAGCTTGCATATGCCATACACACACACGTATATGGATTAAAGGACCGAGTTAAGAGTAATTGACCAAAAGGAAAAAAATATGCCATGAAAAAATTTCATCAGATCACTCTAGTGCAACTTTGAAATTTTGAATTCTATGAATGGATGATTTTTCATTACTAAAACGCAAACAAAAAGCCCACAAAGATGCATGCATAAGACAGGTTAGCTATGCTGATCACAGTCCTTGGGGAACCAAGAACCAAGTTTTTGAAATTAAATTATCCAGATCTGATGACCACCCAGGCAAATCACTAATGTGGTACTTCCTGCCAATATTCAGATATACAAGAACAGAACTTTATACCCCTAACTTTAAAAGTATATGGTGGGATGGCCCTCCCTGGCGGCGCAGCAGGTTAAAGCACCGCACTAAGAAGCTAAAGCCACTTCAGCAAGAGTTCGATCCTCACCCCAGGAGGTGACCACATGGCGCAGCAGACCTCTCCTGACCCGCCTGCTGCTCCCCTCAGTAGTGTGCTTTGTTCATCTGCCTGTTCTGCTCTCCACTCTATCTCTGGTGAAACCTCTCACCACCCCTGCTCCTCTGACCTGTACCCCAGTTCTGTATGCATAAATAAATAAATCTTTTTTAAAAAGTATATGGTGAGTAGTGAGAATACATTACAATTTTTGTTTTTCCTGCAGTTCTCAGCTCAAAAAAGGCCCCCTGCAAATGTTTTGATGAGAATAGTGCAAACGTATAATTTTACTTCGCTATTACATTTCATTCTAGTGTGGAAGGATTTTTTAAAATTATATTTAACATATAACAGCATTGTGGGGGGGCAATTAAAAATGACCAATTTGAATGCCTGAAGTCACAAAGTGCCAATAATAATTTTGCTTTTCCAAAGACCAAAGTCATGGCTAGACTGTAAAGGACAAGTGGTCATGTCCAAACCTAAAACTCTGGGAATGAATCAGACTTAGTAGGCTACCTGAGTGAGTTGAAATAGCATTTAGATAAAAACAAAGTATGTAAATAAATATTCAAAAAATGGCCCATTTTATTAGAGAAAGGATACAAATCCCTTTCCTCCTAAGGAAAGTACTATTTCCTTCTCCAGGATGATAGATGTGTTACTTCTACAGCTGACAGTTTTCTTTTTTACCGGTACTTGCCATGTCGGTTATAATGTTTGTAAAGATAGCTGATACGTTTGTTAAGGTTGTGCAGGTCATCAAAAAACATTCGATTCCCAACCATTCTCTTCTTTCGGATACAACGCTGTAATTCATTCCCCTTCCAGCCTCGAAGCCATTTGGGACCCCTGATCAGTTCTTTGGGATGCTTTTCAAAGTTTCCTGTGTAATATGAGAGAACATATTAGTTCCACCATGACAGAACCCAGCTTCAACCTTCTAAGCCTTCAGCCAGGTTGGATCTCTCTGAGCAGCACCTATAACGAGACATTACCATACATTATCCAGAGTACAGAACCTGGAATGTCAGGCTGCTGAGAGTTCATATTCTGGAACTGCCACTTACTGGCTTTCGAAAAATAACTTAGGTTCTCTGTGCCAGTGTCTCATCTGTAACGTGAAAAGATTATGCAGATTAAACAGTTTAAATATGTAGGGCCCTCAAGCAGTGCCGAACTGCACACACTGTCAACAGACACACAAATATTTACTCTTACTACTGAGCACGGAATTATTACTACATGGGGGAAACAGACACGGCCTGATCGTCATTTTGCAATTCTATACCATGAAATCAAATCTTACCCAGGATTCCGATGTTGTCATACACCCCAAACAAGGCCCTCTTCTCGTTCCAACGATCAACCACTTTAGGAGGTGGGAGCGTTAGCCTTACACGGGATAACCCAGGGACACCTATGAACAGGGAAGCAGAAATGAATCTGACTGCCTACTAAGAAAACAGTTCTCTAGACGTCCTTTCATATCCCCAACTTACCCACGGAGAAGCTTCTACAAGCTAGAGGCATCCAGGCCCATAGGCCCCTACCTGCCCCCCAAAGTAGACTCCCCGTCATTGCTCCAGTCTCTGCCCTGCAATAGCACACTACAGGAGCACAAGAGTTAGGGCCAGTCAGCCGCGGCCTTCGAGGAGGTTACAGTCCTTACTGGCCCCAGGCGAGTGCTAAGTGGGGGCGGCCATCTTGGGCCCTTCCCAGGTAGCTCCGGGCTCGGCCCCTCCTTCCGCAGCCACAAACCCCGCCCTCCCGGTTCCGGCGCACCGATGCCGGAAGTCCAGCCTCGCCCGTCGGGGCGGCGGAAGCGCGGGGGATTTGAGAGAACTGTCTAGTTGCTATATAGGTGCTCCCCAAAACTGAAATTTCAGGAAAATTCACCCTTTCTCGCTTCCGTGGGCATCCCTCAATTGTGAGGGCGGTGAAGAGCCAGAACCCAGAGGGTCCTTTCTCTGTGTCTCACCATTTTGCGTTGTAGTGGTTCTGGTGACTACAATGGGGAGCTCAGGCACGGAATGAAGCGATAGTGGACGGCACCTAGCGATCAGGACAAGGGAACCTGGGCTAGTGCCCAAAGCGCCCAGCTCCCGGCCTGGGCGTGCCTACTGTTCAGAGAGTTACGAGGTGGGCACTGTCCCAGGGGTACCCCCACAGCCGATCTCCAGGCTCGCACCTCTAGCCGGCAGCGCCCGCTGGGCCCGCCCCCGACCCTATCTAGAGAGAGGGGGCGGGACCCGCGGAGCTCCTGCGCTGTGATTGGCCAGTCTCTTGCCGCGGGCGTCACCATTGGCCCCCGCGTGGCGGTTGAGATTTGAACTCCATGTTGGTGGCTTTGCGCGCGCGCCGCCTGTCTCGGAGGCGGGTTTTTGCCTGAGCTTCCCCGGGGTTGGCGGGTTTCCCTGCCCGCTTGCGTGTTTCCTCTCTGATTGGAGCGTTTGTTGTGTGCGAGGTGTGTTTTCCTTCATTTGGGCCCACAACCCAAGAAGGAACGGCGAGGGAGGCTCTCGGCTAAGGTGTGTGGATGGGGCGCGGAGAATGAAAGGTGGGGAAAATCGGGTACCGAGCATTGGGGCGCATTAGGCAGCGATGAGTCGGGGATGCCTACTGGGGTACCTTCAGTTATGATGTGGAAGAAACTAAGTCGGATAGCCCCTCCATGGAGTTTGGGCGAATTGCTGGACCTCTCATAGCTTCACCTTCCTCATCTGGGGTTTGGAGCAGTAGATCAGATAGAGTATATTCAGAGAGCTTAACAGGATCTGGCTCGGAGTAAATAAACAGGTCATGAATGTTAGTGTGGTCCCATGCTGGATCCAGCGAGACCACTATCCCACGCTGGGCCACTGTTCTGGTGTCTGGTGAGACATTGTCTCTATACTTTGCCTTTGACAACGGAAATCAGCTAACAGCTCTTTAAACAGTCGTATCCCTTGACTGCTCATCCTCAGAACAACTTTGTGAAATAGTCAGAGACCAGTAATCCCATTTCACAGACGAGGCACAGTTTAAGTGGCACGACCAAGTGACACTCACAACTAGAATTAGATTCTAATCCACCCCTGATCTCACAACAGCTTAGTGTAACTATTAAAAAACCTATTTGGGAGGTTGGAGAGGTTGAAAATGAAACCAGATAAAAAGACAAGGCTTAGCTACAGACCCTGACCTGGTCTCTGTTTGGTTTCCAGCCCTGTACAGTAAGAAAAAGATGTCTCCCCAAATGTTTGAGTTCCATCTACCCTTAGCCCCAGAGGAATTGTTGAAAAATGGAGGGGTGAATCAGTATGTCGTGCAAGAGGTCCTGTCTATCAAACATCTTCCAGCACATCTTAAAGGTAAGACTCCATAATTGCCACTACACCTAGCACTTCAAGAGGGCTGTTCCACATGCTGAGACTATAATAGGCATGGGAAAGCAGCGTGGAGACTGAGAGACTAATGCAGTAATGCAAGGTAGTTGGGGGTGACAAGAGATGATCTTGAGAGATTAGATTCCCGAAAGCAATATCCTTTGGTGAGTACGGGAGTATGGGACTGGTATACAGGATAAGAAAGTTTTTATTAGATATGTACAGTTTTGTGTTTTTTTTTAAGATTGATCTACTTATGCTTACAAGAACTGGGGTGCAGACCAGAGAGAGGATTCACCAGAAACAAAAAGTGGTGAACAGAATGGGCAGATTGACTAAGGTAGACTGCTGAGGGGAGCAGCGGGCAGAACAAGAGGGTTGTGCCACGCCATGGGTCACCTCTCTGGATGGGGATTAAACTCCTGCTGCGGTGGCCGCAGATAGCTTCATAGTGCCGTGCTTCAACTCACTGTCCCACCAGGGAGGGCCTGGAGATATACAGTTTATAGACAGCAAAAGAGAAAGTCCAGGAACACCTTAGAGATATTACAGGTTCAGTTCCAGTCCACCCAAGTCAAGTAAATAGAGAAGGTTTCTTGTTTGTTTCTCAGTGCATATGAGAGTTACAAATATAACTTCCAAATATAAATTATACTGAGGTCTACTGAGTATATAATAGCATTATAAAAAAACAATGTATATACCTTGATGAAAAGTAGTTTACATTGAGTATCTGTTGTCAATGATCTTCACTAAATCTTCTGGAAACTTGCTGCAACTTCTCTGTCAGCACTGGCAGCTTCACCTTGCACTTTTATGTGATGGAGCTGGATTCTTTCCTTAAACCTCTGGAACCTGTTTCTGGGAGCTTCCAGCTTTTCTTCTGTAGCTTCCTCAACTCTGTCAGCTTTCATAGAAGAATTGGGTACATGCTTTAGATTAGGCTTTGGCATAAGGAAATGTGACTTGATTGATATTCTGTCCAGACTCAGACTTTTTCCATTTCAGCAATAAAGGGTCTTTTATTTCCTTATTTTTCTAGTTACCTGGAGTAGCACTTTTAATTACCTTCAAGAACTTTCCCTTTGCACAAGAAAGGGATGGACACAAGAAACCTAACTTTTAGACCGCTTTAGCCACAGCTCCCTCACTAATCTTCATCATTTCTAGCTTCTGAATTAAAGTGAGAGACATGCAACTTTTCCTTTCGCTTGAACACTTAGAACCCACTGTAGGGTTATTCATTGGCATAATTTCAATTTTGTTGTGTCTCTGAGAATACAGAAGTCTCAGGACAGGGAGGAAGATGAAGGGATGACTAACTGCTGGAACAGTCAGAGCACAAACAACATTTACTAAGTTTTCAGTCTTACATGGATGCAGTTTGAAACCGCATCCCAAAATGCAGTGGTACAGGACCCTCCCTGGTGGTGCAACAGGTTAAAGTGCAGCACCATGAAGCTAGCAGCAGCTGCTTCAGCATGAGTTCAATCCCCAGCTAGAGAGCTGAGCCACATGGTGTGGCAGACCTTTCCTGACCCACCCGCTACTACTCCCCTCAGCAGTGTATTTCAGTAGATCTACCTGTTCTGCTCCCCACTCTGTCTGGCATGGTTTTATCAGCAGCCACTGCAACATGATTTCAATCCCTCGCTGGGGCGCTAACTAACCCTCATGGCACAGCAGACCTCTCCTGTCTTGTCCGCTGCTCCCCTCAGCAGTGTATTTCAGTAGAACCACCTGTGTTGCTTCCTTCTCTGTCTCTGTTGAATCCTCTCACCCCTCCTTGCCCCAGTCTCCACCTACCCCCACCCCCCGCCACCACACCTCTTGTATGTATCCCAGTTCTTGTATGCATAAATAAAAATAACTGTTTAAAAAACAACAAAACTAGATTTCTGGAAATTGAGAAAGATTAGGCACAATTTAAAGAGGATATGATAGTAGAGTCAAATAAAAAAAGTCATTAAGCTTTTTTGTTTTGTTCCTTTTAAGGAAGAGAGGCCTGTGCTTGTTGGCAGATAAGAGCAAACCCTGGAGAAGATAAAGAATGAAGGAGAGGGGATAAGTCTTTGGGAGAGAAAGGCAGGTTTGCTTTAGAAGAGAGTAATTTTTTGTTTGCAAGGGACAAATGAGACTAAAGCAAAGAATAGGATGATTTGGGCAGAATGATTTGTTGATAGGGAGGCAGGATTACACGAGGGAATGAGTGCTTAGGTCTCATTCTCTCTGGTAAAATAGAAAGTCATCTGGTAGAGGAAGAGAAGCAAAGGATAAGAAAGAAAGAGGAGCGTATGGTGTATGCTGCTGTGGAGGAAGGAGCAGCAAAGTCACTGGTTAAAATTTCCAGACCAGATTGCTATGGTGAATCAAGTCAGCCAGCACTGATAATAGAATAGAAGGTTCTGCTTTACTCTTCAGGCCAACTTGGTGTTACAGAAAAGAAGAATTTTGTAGAATTCTCTCCCTCCTCAGCCACAGGACAAAACATAAGACATTAATATTATATTAGGTTACATTAAAATGAACTGTTTTTCTCTTGATGCTACCAATCAAAGCAATTAATTAGCCTGATATTCTGCTATGAATAGAATATACCAAAAAAATCCTTTCCCCTCTCTCTTCATAAGTTTCTTTCATCTTTGTAGCATTTCAGGCTGCATTTCGAGCTCAGGGGCCCCTGGCTATGCTGGAGCATTTTGACACTGTCTACAGCATTCTACAGTAAGTAAAGTACCTGACTACTAGAAAAAGAAACAGTGACTCTTTGCCCTAACTTTGAATGTTAGTCCAAAAATTCCAAATAGGTTCACTGATAAATGGTTCTGGTGCTGATATGTCTACCCCAACATGCCATAGCTGAGCAATTCCATTCGTTTTTAAGTATTAGAAGCATTAGATTCTCCATTCTCTCTTTTTTGGGAAATGACAGGCTACCAGACGTTGTAAAGAAAATCAGAGGAGGCACAGGGTGAACGAATTCTCTAGAGACAGAGTGGAGTACAGGAAAGGAAAGGCAGGTACACAGAGATACCTGCAAGGGAGCAGGGGAAAGACAGGAGAGGTCTTCTGTACCTGAGCCTTAGAATGTTTAGATTCTATCCAATCTGCAGATTTCTGTCTCACTCTTTCCTTCCCTCCTAGTCATTTTCGAAATATAGATCCTGACCTCAAGGAAGATACTCTGGAATTCCTGATAAAAGGTATAGAGGGGGTAGGAGGTTGCTGTTTCCTACATTTTAGCAGCCACTTGATGATATCAAGGCTGTGGTGATTCAGTTGGTTTGGCTAAGCCTGAGAGCCTTTGACCTATTACGGTCTGTAATCTTGGTGGGCAATACAGAGTTATGTGTGTTCGCTGTAAGGGCAGACCAACAAGAAATTTCTCCTACTTTTGAGCTACCTCTTTAACAGAGGTGATTCTTCCAGTTGCCAGTAAGAAATTGTGGTAACTGGAGTGAAAGTAGGGACAGGGCATATGAACACATGGTATTTGGGTCAAGGGTTCAAAGGACTTAGTCTGCGTTATAGCCACTGAGAGATGAAACATAGATCTTTGGTAATCTGATGGCTGCAGTACTTGGATGTTTTGAATTTGGGGTATATGAGGAAAGTAATGGAACTGACTCCGATTCTGCTCCTCACAGTGGTAACCCATCACTCCCAGGAACTTCCAGCCATCCTGGATGATGCAGCCTTGAGCACATCAGATAGAAATGCCCACCTAAATGCCCTCAAAATGAACTGCTATGCTTTGATACGCCTCCTGGAATCCTTTGAGACCATGACCAGCCAGACTAGCCTCATGGACCTAGACCTTGGTGGGAAGGTAATTTGCAGTTCGCGGCTCGTAATATGGGACCTGGGGGACAGGGATGGACGAGGACAGGAGGGAAGCCATTGGTCCTGAGGTCACTTTCTGTCCTATGGGGAAATAGAAAAGGTGTGAAGAAAAGTACCACAGGATATTCTCTCCAGAAAAGCAGCCAACCTTGTCTTAATGCTGAATAGTTTATACACTCAGACCAGCAGATACTGGTCCTCTTTCTTCACTTATTTTTTCCTAAGTGTATGCATAATCCTTTTTTAGGGCAGGAAAGCTCGGGCCAAGGCAGCTCATGGCTTTGACTGGGAAGAAGAAAGGCAACCAATTCTTCAGCTTTTAACACAGCTGCTCCAATTGGACATTCGTCACCTGTGGAACCACTCAATAATTGAAGAAGAATTCGTCAGGTGGGCAGCTGAGATGCTATAGATAATATTGCACTGGGTGGGCTCTGTTGTTAAATATCCCTTTAAACACGTCATTTCATGCTTCAGTTCTATCTGTAATATATAGAGATATACTCACAGCATTGAAGTCATGGGAAGTAGACAGTGGAATGTTAGGAACTGCTGTTATATCTCAGATGGCTCAGGAATCATGTGTTCACAAAACAGATTTTACTGAGAGTCTTCTAGGTGCATGTAGCCAGTATCATTGGAGGCATTGTAAACAAAAGCTGTTCTCTTGGAGTTTATATTGAGAGCAAAAGAAACATTTTAAACTAAGTAAAATATATAGTTTGCTTTATAGTCTATTGTTTTAGAAAATAAAGGCAGGAATAGAAAGTTTGATGGAAGAGGGTTGTGGCTTTATTTTTTTCAAACAGACACAGTTTTATGAGTAACTTTATGAGGAGATGGTAAGTGGTTGTGGTGGGGCAGTGAGGCCAGGACCCCTGGACGTCGACTGTACCACATTTTCCATGCCTTCTGCCAAGCCCCAAGCAAGGTGACCCGCTGTCCAGCGAGGCCCGTGCAGGACTTCCTGGCTCGGGGCAGCTCTGCAGGGCAGGGCACTTCCACTGGTGGCCACTCCTCAGTGCTAGGAGTTCCGGTGGGCTCTGGCTAGTGGTGTCATTGCAAGGATTGGGTTGGGAACACGGTGCTCTCTGGCCCAGAGCAGCAGCAGGTAGGAGCAGCCACGGCCCCCACCTACCTCCAGGTCGGGCAGGAAGGGTAGAAGGCTTCATATGTGTCTGATGCTGCAGCCCTCAGGGGTCATGGTGTGTCCTACGTCACCTGCACCCTTGGCTCGGGAAAGCAGGCAACAGCAGTAGCAGGTGACAGAATGAAGAAAGCTAGGGCAGCCGACTTTGACAACAGCAGAGACAGAATAAACGAGGCAGGTTCCCAGTAGAGGTACAGCTGTTTTCATCTCACTCTTCTCCTTTCTCAGTTTGGTTACCGGGTGCTGCTACCGCCTCCTGGAGAACCCCACTATTAGTTACCAGAAGAACCGCCCCACCCGGGAAGCCATAACACACCTGCTTGGTGTCGCCTTGACTCGTTATAACCATATGCTCAGTACGTTGGCCCCCCACTTTGCCCGCCTTCTTCATTTTGCGTGTAAATGCTCATGTTCCGTCCTTCCACAGGTGCCACGGTGAAGATAATCCAGATGCTGCAGCACTATGAACACCTTGCGCCTGTGCTGGTAGCAGCTGTGAGTCTGTGGGCAACTGATTTTGGAATGAAGAGCATAGTGGGAGAGATTGTAAGGTAACTCTTATTTCTCTTAATTGCTAGACATAAATCTCAGTGAAAAGATAAGATTACAGATATGTTCTCTGTGCAACAGTCGATTCCTTTAGATATTAGATACCAATTTCCTTCCTTACCAGGAACTGACATGTGAGTTATCTTGCTATAACCGTTTCTCCCCTGTGTAGAGAGATTGGACAGAAGTGCCCTCAGGAGCTGAGTCGGGACACTTCAGGGGCAAAGGGTTTTGCGGCCTTCCTGACAGAACTAGCAGAACGAATCCCAGCCATCCTGATGTCCAGCATGTGCGTTTTGCTAGATCACCTGGATGGAGAGGTAGGTGGTTCCCTGGGAACCGCAGTTTTCCAGGGGTTATAGATCTTGTTGAAAGGTGGCTTAACAAGAAGCTAGATGTCGTGCGAGGTCATATTCACACTGTCTAGGCCTCTCACTGTAACAGTTCCTTCCTCTGGAAGAGCAGGTGAAGTTTATTGAGGTACACCGCTTACGGCTAGTGAGAGCCACTCAGCGCTGACAGTGCCATCCCTTCCTCTCCCTGCCTGTGGCCTCCTTGCTCTCTCCAGTAACTGCCGTCTCTGCTCCGGACACTAATCTTGCTGCCTCCCAGACTGGTGCTAGGTGGAGATCAAGGACAGAACAGCATGGCAAAGTCCCTTATCCCTGTTCTCCAACAGGTCCTGTAATGGGTTTGCTTGGTCCCCAAGGACTGTTGTTTGCTTTTCTGTATTTTGCTCTCTGTTGGAAAAGGGGAAGAAG